TTTCTCTCTCATTGATGTTTCTAACTCTCTACCCATATCCCTTCCTCTCTGTAAAAAAAATCAATAAAATATTAAAACATTAAAAAAAAAACTGGCTTAGAAGATCTTGCCTTTGTTAGATCAAAAGTCAGCATGATTCAGAGGTTGAGGATATAGCCTGCACCTGCCCACAAAGATTCTCATCTGGGAATTTAATTAGTTTGGAAAAAATAACATACACAGTCAGGTTTTATCATTCTCAAAATTGATCCTAAGAACAACTCAGTGAAGTAAAGGTGTAATCATGCTTGTTTGTTTGTAAGGAAACTAAAGCCTAAAAGAGTTCAGTGACTTTCCAAGGCCAACCAGTTAGGTGGGATAGCTTACAAATATCTTTTTTTTAAAATATGCTATAACTAGAGGCCCAGTGCACAAATTCGTGCATAGGTGGGGTCTCTCTGGGTGGCCTGCAGGGATCAGGCCGAAACCCACAGTCCAACGCTGCCTACAGCTCCTACCTGCTGCTCCCGCTCATCCCAGCCCCACTGTACCTGCTGCGGGCTTGCGCCCAATCAGTCCCGATCAGGAGAGGCTCGCGCTGCTGCAGTAGTGCTCACCAGCTATGAGCCCTGTGTCTGGCGCCCTCCCAAGGGGAGTGACCTGCAGAATCGAACTGAAACCGGCTCTCCGACATCCCAAAGGGTTCCAGATTTCGAGAGGGCACAAGCCAGGCTGAGGGACCCCACCAGTGCATGATCGAGCTGGGGAGGGACCGCAGGAGGGCTCCAGGGCATGTCCAGCCCATCTCGCTCAGTCCCAATCAGCCAGACCCCAGCAAGCTAACCCTGATCAGAGCATCTGCCCCCTGGTGGTCAGTGCATGTCATAGCAACTGGTCGACCAGTTGATTGTCTGCCCCCTGGTGGTCAGTGCACGTCATAGTGAGCAGTTGAACAGTCTTAGCATATCATTAGCATATTATGCTTTGATTGATTGTTCGGTTGTTCTGCCGTTCGGTCTATTTGCATATTACCCTTTTATTATATAGGATGATGCTAGAGTCAATCACACAATTTTGGCAAAATGTTGATAATTATTGAAGCTCAGTAACTGTTGTTTCATTATACTATTGTCTCCATCTTTGTGTACATTTGAAAATTTCCATACATTTTTAAAAGAAAACATGTACATTCTAAATAGTGTTACTCAGGGTGTGGTCCCTGGACCTTCAGCATGAGGGTTACCTGGAAATTTCTTACAATTGCAGAATCTCAGGTGATACTCCTTAATCTTGAATCAGAATCTGCATCTTTTTAAAAAGTTCCCTGGGAGATTTGTGTATACATTAAACTTTACAGAATATAACAGTTGATCTGATGTTTTTACTTAACCATATTTTCCAAATTGAAAATTAGAATAATTAGTATAGTACAGTATGCTCATGTGGGTACAAAAAAAGAATATTTGTGCCCTAACAGGTTTGGCTCAGTGGATAGAGCATCGGCCTGTGGACTGAAGGGTCTCAGGTTCGATTCCAACTGTGTGCTAGGTATCTGTCCCCCAGTATAGATATTGTTCCAAAGTAGAATAATTGGGGTACTTATGATAGGAAAAACACTGGATAACTCTTTATCCTACTAGCTTTACTAGAGGAAACTCCATTTCTCCTGGTTTATACAGAGGCTGTGATTTAGAGTTCTCATTTACATAAGAGAATGAGTTTAAGTGGCTTTATAAGAATATAGGAAACCACTTGATGATAAGTTTTGGCACTGAAAGAGATAGAGGCCTTGATGACTCTAAAGAGCAAGATGTGACTAAAATGGCCCTGACCGGTTTGGCTCAGTGGCTAGAGCGTCGGCCTGCGGACTGAAGGGTCCCGGGTTCGATTCCGGGCAAGGGCATGTACCTTGGTTGTGGGCACATTCCCAGTGGGGGGTGTGCAGGAGGCAGCTGGTCAATGTTTCTCTCTCATCGATGTTTCTAACTCTCTCTCTCCCTTCCTCTCTGTAAAAAAAATCAATAAAATATATTTTTTTAAAAAAGATGTGACTAAAATGAAATTCCATAGTTAATTTTCAAGAATTTTAACTTTTAGTAAACTATCGTATCAGTTTTTCACATCTACAATACTTAGCATTTCAATGTCATCTGGGATGAAAACTGATAAACAGGTTTAAAAATCTGTATTATAAAATGCTGGATTCTGTATATATTTCAGATATGTAATTGCATACAATTTTATTTCCTATGGGGTGTGTGTGTGTGTGTGTGTGTGTGTGTGTGTCTTGTTTTGTTGGGTTTTTTGGACTCATATTCAGTAAAAGTTGTTTTTGTAGGTGCAGTACCTGAAACTCACCAGTCACCTCGTTTTAGCCTGAAGGATATCACCAATGTCCCCTTGTATACTGAAGTGAAAATTAGAAAACTTTCTCTTTCTCCACAACAGAAGAAAGAAAGCCCAGGAGGGTCTCTGCCTAAGCGTAGGTGCACAGTCAGTGTGAACTATAAGGAACCCACACTCGCTTCGTAAGTATTTAATGTGTGGGAACTCACTTTTAATGATACAGTTGGAGGGCGGGGGGAATAAGGTAATGGAGCTTTGTACAAGAGTGAATCTTACTTGATATATAAGATTTTGATTAAAAAAACTGAAATGGGAATATTAACACTGGCCTATTTTACAGTAACTTTATCCTAAAGAGTAAGTCAGTATTGGGGTGCTAAAGAGCTCTTTTTATCTTTATAGGAAACTAAGAAGAGGAGACCCTTTTACAGATTTGTGTTTCTTGAATTCACCTATTTTTAAGCAAAAAAAGGATTCCAGACGCAGTTCTAAAAAGAAAAAAAAAGTATGAAGCAAATACAGTAAAGCATTTGTTGGACATGGTTTAAATACATGCCAAAGAGAATAGAAAAAATAAATAAGTAAATTCATCCCGCAGCCCTTTCTGTTGCTCCAAGAGGGAATCTGTAAGATAGCACACAAGTGGGGTGGACTGTGCCATAGAATATTCTCTTGATGGGACTTTAGTCACAAATGTTTTTTAAAAACTATACTTCAAATGTGATCTTTTTGCTTAAGCCTTTAATAGATTTGGTTTATTTTTTATTTTAAATATAAACAACTGGACTGAAGCACTATTATAGTTAGATTTCTTATACTGCCTAACACCCATAATTTTAGTCAAAATGTATCTTATGCCAACATTTTGGGAATTAATGATTATTCAAATAACATATTGTAATTAGAAGCTTCTGGCCTTTTTACTTTTCCCTTTAGTGAGGATTATGAGAATGACTTTTGAAAACAGGCTGAGGATCTTTTGAAACTCCTTATATAATATTTGAATAAAGTAAATTCTTGATATTCACAGTAGGGTATACTCTATTGTTTGTGTCTCCTTTATACCATTGTTGTACTTAAT